GATCGATTTATGCCGTCACGTCTCAAGTAGAAACGGGGGCAAGGTCTTAACGACGCAGCCATTTTTGAATTATTCTATAAATTAACTATATAAACAAAGAAAGATATGTCACGTTAATCCTAAATTCATATTAGCTGACCCCGCAAATGTTGTTTTGCCATATAAGTTAAAATCGCTATTAAAAAATAGGTGTTGATGGTAGAAGGTGAAAATTTAGTGTTGTATGTTATTTTTAACGCCATATTATAAAAAATGTTATCTTAATAAAAGATATAATACATTTTATTGCGAAGACGGATATATGTATATATATGTTTTATACAAAAAAGCAAATCGCCAGAAATTAATAGTAGGTAATCTATAAATAGTAATTATGAACATTGCATATTCGTCTGTGCATTTTTGCACGATAATCTCAGAAACTAATTAAACGGCATGAATGCAATTGTCAAGCAAAATTAGCTTCCCTTAATATTTAATGTTCATTTCTGTACAATTGGTTTATATAAAAAAAAAACTTATATTATCCGAATACCTCAGGTATGAAATCGGAACCTCAACCAGTCTTTGTTTTTTGTTATATAAAACTTTAGTTGAATTCGACGAACAAAAACAATTAAGTCAGGTCAGTTAGCCCATAACTAGCCTGACTTCATTCTATTCCTATAGCATTCCAGCACTCCTTGGTGCACCAGGAGTACCATCCCATCATAAATATATAAATGGTTTTCCGAAAATAAATTACATTAAAAAAAAATATTTTAAAACCTAACTACTGAATCAAGACGAAGCACTTCATAATGATGACGTTTGTTCTACAAACGTGTGAATTTGGAAAGTGCCATCTTAGTTTTGTTTATCTTGGTGAAATTAGAACAATAAATTTAACGTACTTAAGTATACTTTCAAATATTCTAGAAAAGTCTATTTTCTTGTTTAATACTATAGTTTCCACAGAAACAGCGTAGTAAATGTGTTGTAATTGATAAAAGCAGCGTTTCCAAACATATAATTACGTTAACTCTTTTCCTATGTTTAATACAATAAACAAATGATCAGTCATTGTCAAAAAACTGGCCAGTCGGACATGATAACATCTAACGTACCATCGAATGAATCAGCAATAAAAGATTAACCGAACAAATTATGAGCGACGTCGATAATTGCAACAGTGAATGTCGGAAACTGACATTCTGCGCGGATCACATAATAGGCAGTTTGCCGAAGCATCTCGAGCCAATGTCTGTAAAAAAACATGATGACCCGTCTTGTCTGTGGAATGTTATGCGACAAATTTAAGACGATCGCATATCCGCTGGCCGGCGGATGGAGATCACACAGTTTCACGCGTTCGGGTAATAGCGATAGGTAGTGATTCTGCTTAAAAGTACGTAGGTAGGTCTAGTGAATAATATGAAGCCACTAGCCAGAGAGGCCGTTCACAAGGCGCGGTCGTGAACCAATGCAATTATTTCATGCTCGATGTGCTTACGTATCCGTCATCCGCCGTGTAGTCAATACCACAGAGCAAGTAATACGTTATAAAAGAGTTGACACTGGCCTGTGAGAACTCAATCAAAATGTTACCATCTATTTAACAACTTTAAATTGTTCTAAAACATAAGAGCTTGCATAGCTTCTTGCAAAAATTGATTTTATTGTAGCACTTGTAGTAAAAAAATTGGTATCACAGATTCATAATATACTTTGTTCTCAGTGATGCTTAGTCAATACATAAGTGCACCACGTTGGAATTTTAAAATGTTTATTTTTTTAGTAGCATCACAAGAAGCTCAAGACAATAGCCAATAGACAAAAAAGAATTGTTTAACAACATGCATTTAATCATTGTCTATTATTATTATTACACTATTGGTGTATTACCACCATAATCAGTATTATCAGAAAGTGATGTAATCATTTATCTAAACTCACGCAATCGGGTGTAATATTTAGTCTTTCGGTAAAGAGGATATAATATGAATGAAAGATAATAATTTTATTGACCTTGTTTGATAGACGTTATTGTAAGTTTAATCTGCTCACACACCACAAAGAATAAGAGTGTACTACACTACAAATTATGTATGTTTGCCGAACATAGTTAAGAATAAGTGGATGTTATTTTTTTACTTTTAATGGGTAATAATGGTATATTATACCATTTATAATAAAATACATGACGTTCATAAGCGACTAAAATGTCCTACATGAATAAATTATTTTTCATTTGAATTGATTTATTGTTATAATTATGTACTTGTGTCTGCATTTTCTTTTTCACGATACCCCAGTATCACCTTATCCAATATAATATAATATTAAAAAGGAATAATCAGGTCAATTTGTGAAAATATTGTATGTGATTAGGCATTTGGATGGCGCCAGTTCCAAATTTGGATGCACTGTCAGCTAGCATGAAATTGATACCTAGGTAGATTAAAATATGTTTTTTCCTGGAACACTTGCCCGTAAAGATAAAGTAACTGATAAGATTTCGTGTTATATTTAGTTTAAATTCCCATAGCTATCGTGGTAAACTGAAGAAATATTCTGCAAACTATCAGATAACCATTACCTATAGGAAGGAGATTGTTAGTGATGTTACTAACCCCATTGCTAACAATGTCATGACCACGCGGTTCCCCGTGGAAACCATCGTAAATTCCTGGTGAATTTGTCATGATAGGCTAACAGATCAGATCTCATGATCATTTTATTATCCACTGGTGCACCCGCCTGCGCTAACGATTTACGCAGCCGGGGTATCAGTGTAAGATGATAAGATAAACATGAGGTCAGGTCAGTTACCCCTTGGTGGCAATTGGTGAATTTATCATAATGGTTTCCAGGGGGAACCGCGTGAAGGTCAACCTGGTACTAACATGGTACATTGCTAGTAATGGGGTCAACAGTCTACATTTCTAAGAATACCTTTCCCATTCATTTCTATTCCGGAAGACGTAGTCAATCCCCTGTCAATTTCACTGTCGTATTGGACAAACATTGGGCAGACGGCCTTGGTGGTGTAGCGGTTTAGCACACCGCTTTAAGATGACGATAAATTTTGCGAGTTCGATTCCTCGTTCGGTACAAACATTTGTATTCATGAGTATGATTGTTTGTATTGGTCTGTGTGATTTCTATGTATCTATAGAATAATGTGTATTTATTTATCTATGTATTTATATTAGTTATTTAGTACACATAACACAAGCTCTGCTTAGCTTGGGACTAGATGGCGTTGTGGGAATTGTTCAAGGATATTATTATTATATAAGACCTGGTTGACACACCCAACAGGTTGGCTGTTGGTTTGTTTGTCATTCCAGTTACATAAAAAAATCATATCTTAAGGTTAGTTCTGTCATTTTTTTTAAATGTTTATATATATGTTATTCAGTATGTTTTCATTTCACCTGTAGTTATGCGCTTACATACATTCGGAAACTTATTCTTATTTATATAGATCTAGCGACCCGTCCTGACTTCGACCAGCGATTAATTTACACAAAAACCTTGAAGAATTATACACTTAAATCTTTTTCGAGAATTACTCAATTGATAGATGAAAACCGCATGAAAATCTGTTCAGTATTTTTTATATTATCGCGAACACACAAATAATAGTAGGGGCTTTGTTTTATATTTTGTATACATTTTAACATATGTATCCTACTAAAGATATAAACGCAAAAGTGGGTGAATATTTGTTACTCTTTCAAAAACTCGACCGATTCGAGCGAAATTTGTTACACACATAGATCATATTCCAGATTAACAAACAGGATACCTTAAAGCCGAGAGATATACCTAAATGCATATTAGATACCACAGTGTTTCGAAAAGTTAATACAGCTATATACATATTCCGACAGTCCGCCATAGAATAATATGGTTATTTTTAATCTATGTAAATATAATAAATCCATAAGATTAGGCACAAGTGGTTTTAAAATACGTACGTTTCGTAAGTTGACTCAGTCACTAAGCCAATTTACAATATGAGATTTTATATCGCTTATTAAAGTGGGCATGACCTTAAAAACCTAATAAATGGATTCAAAGTAGTTAAATACATCTAACAGGTATGAGGTAACTAATATTCCGTATTAGACGATTACGGCTTGTATAAAATAGTTATATAGCTTTTATATGCCGGTATTGAATATTGAGATGCGTCTTTTATATCCCGTGGATATCAAAATAAAACATACGGCTAGACTGATGGTAAGTTACAGAGCTTGCATAATCTCGCAGCACAATTTCGAATTAGTAAGCATGTTTATATATATACAATTTTATTTGTTTTATAATTATATTTATTGTTCTTAAGTGTCGACAAAAATATTACAAAAAAAATTTTATTAGGCATTGACGAGAAGCTTGGCTGATAGCTTCTATGAAAACTTAACTTAAATAACATTTATTACTGATTTTCTTATTGTATTTCTATGTGCACAATAAAGAGTTTATTTATTTAGAGTAGGAATAAATAAGTAATTATTTACGTACTACGTAATTATGTACGTCTAATAAAACTTTAAAAAAATAAAATGTAATCCATAGACTAAGAATAAGTAATTGATTAAGTAAGTACTATTTGCCGTGATTTACACCAATACAACATAAATTACAAACACGCACCCTGCGTTCTATATTTAAACATGGAACGATTTGAAAGCGGTCTATTGCATTCACTAAATAAAACAGCGACGGATTTATGGCTGAATTAACAATCGCAAAATAGGCACGTACCTTCGATTTGATGATCTCAAATCCTATCGTATTGAGGAGACATCGGCAACTTTCACAAGTTAAAGGTACACACTAGAGTAGTAGAGCGAGGTTTAACGGGGGTTAGCAGCTAGCCGCCACTAAAATTATTGATTTCGCAGTTACAAAACAACAAAAGATATAAAACGAGCCGACTGCACACCCCCGCGCGGACCGAATCGATCAGAATGATAATTGTCGCGCACAAAGACTTCACTACTCACCTAGGCGGCCGGAATGCACACAGCACACACACAAAACAACAACACACACAATTTATGTTAACAATATTTCGCAATCACAACGTTTTGCACACGTTAATCACAGTTTTTACACTTGTAACAAGAGTTTTTGTATTGTTTTTATTGCATTTAAAGGTTAATTAGTGCGAATTAAAAGCGATTTGTAGCAGAGACGCGAGCATTTCGACGGCCGCTAGCAAGATGGCTCCGCTCCGCGTCCGCGTATGCCGCGCGGCCGCTCCCCCGCGCGCCGCGTACGTGCAATGAAAGATAGGTGGCGGCCCCACACGGCCAACGGGCAACGGGGATCCGTCCGCCGATATATCTCACTGTCAGCTGCTTTGCATTATTTAATGCAGTAAAACATTCAAATCAATAGCTTAGTGATGTTACTTTAACTATTAATAAGCTGAGTTTGTATGATTCGCAATTATTACGGTGAAATATTCACATGTTATCATATTTTAATTTTTGTCTTAAAATTCATAGTGCATTTGTAACTATTTATTTATTTATATGTAACACTAAATTATTATGTAGTCTAGTAGTATTTTATGAAATTAAGATATTAAATTGAATAACTATATCAATAATATGTACCAAAAGCAAAAGATTAAAAATAAATCTGCATTATAAAAATATATTTAAGTTGATAATAATAAAATTACAAATGGAAGTAAAAGATTTTTCTATCAGAAAATGGATATATACTTATGTAAATACTATTGAACGACAACAAATTCATTTAAGAATGATTTATTAAAATTACGTAAGTACAGTAATAGACTTATTATTGACGTTTCACTTACCTACCTACTTACCAAAAATATACTAAGGTATTCAGTTCATTACTTAAAATTATAACCTTGACCTCTGTCATTACTTTGGGAATAATAAAATCCTATAAACAATAAATAAAGCATAAACGTTATAAATTAGCTTAATAACCTTATTTGCATAGAGAGAGTAGTGCATACTTCTTAGCTTATCATATTATTCATAACCTTATAATCAATCGTGAGTCACTGTAACCGGCGTATTTAATCCCGAGACATATCCCGCGATCAACTCCTCACGATCCGTCACCAGTTCTTTCCCTTCACACCGCTTTGCTCGTGCGGAGATCACCCCTCGCCCCGCACCGCTGTCCTCTGCCTACCGACCTCTTATATACGTACTGCTCTCTTTACAACAAAAAAACACCAATTTCCCAAATTCTCGAAGCGGACCGAGCCCGCTCGCAGACCTAAGATGGCCGACGGACGGCTCACGGCTTCCATTTTGATTGCAGATTACAGTCGCGCGTCCCTCCACCGTTCAAAGCCTAACCGATGCGGCGTCCTGCCGCTATAACTCGCTACATAAACGTATTGCACACGTTTTTAGGCTAATTTTTCCCGTTCAACACGACGGTGATGTCGTTTCCCGCGTAAAATGCTGTTTGGGGGGCATGTGTTGTTAAAATGGCGGGTGTTATGTCGAATTTCGATGTCGCCGGCTTTGATCCGTTCATTGTATCGATTCGTCGGCCGCCCGGGGTTGAAAGAAAGTCCACGCGGAGTCTAATGCCCGTGTTAAAATGTAGCCGAGTTCAAGCAATGGTTTTGTCTCTTTCAAGCCCCGCATCTCGTACCTACCTGTGCTGCATAAAGCGATGTTAGTTAAAAGTAGCTCTCTCGTCTCGCGATGGAAATTGAAATGATATAGCGTTTTAATCTATGCGTATATACTGCTAGATACAAGTATAAAATGCAAATAGCTCTATAATTACTGTACTATGATAAAAATAGGTAAGCACATAGACAAGCATGTAGACACAACTTAAGGCAACTACTACAGTATGAACACATCGGCGAACAACTATCTATCTCCTCCTATAACTGAACTAGGATGAATTTATGTCGTCCTAGTACAATACCTACATTACAGAGAACAAACTCAATTCTAATTTTACCAAAAAATGTAAATTTAAATAAATATAAATAAATAAATAATCATTGACAATCTTGTCCCATGGTAAGCAGAGCTTGTGTTATGGGTATAAGACAGCTGATATGAATACTTAGATTTTTTTGACAATACCCTGACCGATAATGATTTCTCCACTGCTGCTATGATTATATATTTCTTCCCATGATAACTGCACTTTTAGCTAATAGGTGGTTGGGCTATAGAAGTACGTACTTCACTCTTGTCACCTATTGGGATAGGTAGAGACAAGGAGATCCCATATATTTCAAATGATATACACTTAGAAGCATAATTCTTTTGCTTTCTCTACATTAATAAAATAAAAAAAAATATTTCTTTTTCTACATTGATAAAGTTTTTTATTCGAATTTAGAAGTTAAGAGAAACAAAGAATGAGAACGGCCACAAACAATTATTATTTTTAATGATAACAAAAGTAGTATCATTTGTTTAACTAAAAATTAAACAATAAGTATTGTTTAATATCTAATAATATTCATTATATTGATCAAATGATATGCCTATATTTTTATCTCAAAATTTATATTTTTTTTTAATATTAAAGACAAGGAAGCCTATATACAAAAATATACAACCGTTGCTTATAAACATGAACAGTACTACAAATATCATTAAATATATTATAATTTTTTAAACCGCAGTCTCATGCGTCGTCTTTCATTTTATTTTACTGGAACAATGATTTCCGATATTTAAGGAAAGCAGAGTCAAAGGCGTTTATTCATTCGGAATATTTTTAGGCATTATGTTCTTATTTTTTTCCTATCTGACGCGCGCAACCTCGTCTGCATCACACTTACTTGACATTTATCATTATATTTCGCCCAATTTATATAATATCGTTTTAAATTATAGCCTTTATGTTATTCTGATGTATAAACTATACTACTGTTAAGTTGCATGAAAATCCATTCAGTAATTTTTGCGTAAAATAGTAACAAACATCCATATATACTCATAAACTTTCGCAGTCTGAGTATTTAGGACTCATCTATATACTCGAAGTTAACAGTGATAGAGCCGTGGATATTCCAACACAGTTCTTTTAATTTTTTACGTGTAGACGTGTTTAATTTGTGTAATATACATTTTTTAATAATTATGTATATTTTTAAGTATTACTATAAAAATAATAATAGGTATTCTGTACTCGTTCTTTATATAAATATTAACTGTACCAAACATATACATGACTCTACCAAATTTCATATTCTTCAGTTCGCGTAATTTTCGTAAAAGTAAGCATAAAAACTTTATGCTTTACATACTAATGCATTGATTTGTAACCGTTCGTATGTAATGAGATCTTTCGTGATGTAATTTGGAATACTTTTGGTCCGGAGATGCGAGTTCAATTGCTCCAATCGCCCATTGTTATTGTAATAATAATGGGCCAGGGGGTCGATCCAGACTCCAGACTCCAGCTGAACGTTGAATGGTCTTCAGCCGATCCATAAGTTCTTCCGCGGGTTTGTAGTGTCTCTCTGCACTCGCTACCATTTTCGTCTGGTGAAGCTGTGAAGGCCTCGGTGATCTAGCAGTTTCGCACACGGCCTTGATTCCGATGATTGCGGGTTTGAATCCTCGCACGGTACAAACACTTGTATTAATAAATATGATTGTTTGTATTGATCTGGATATTTTCTGTGTATAATATGTGTGAATTAAAAGAAACTATATTTAAGTCGATATTTATATCAGTTGTCTAGTTACGTACGCTTATCATAAGCTCTGCTTAGTTTAGAACTAGACGGCGTTGTGTGAATTATCCTGGGTTATAAAAAAGCCCGTTACAGACATATCATAAGAGTCTGTAATAGAGCTATATGAATAAATATATTTTGATTTGATTTGATTTGATAACATTAGAATAGATCTCAAAAAGCGTGTTCAAGTCCCGTTATGTCGAGTTATTATAATAATAAATTATTCAACGTAATTATAATATTAATTAAAAGGAACCATTTGTGTCATCATGACCACTAAATGTACACAGCTGCAAATAAATTCTGTAAATAAAATGGAGATTTACTTTCTTATAACTATTAAACTTACGTCCGTATGCTTAAATTTATTTATTAACTTTTTTATGTTAATGGAATAGCAAACAAGATGGCCCACTTGATAATAAGTGGCATTTGGCAGTAGCTATATACATGAGCAGCACAGTATATCACGTCATCATGGTTTATTATAGCATAGGGGACAAACGAGCTTGCGGCTCTCCTGTTGGTGAGAGATTACTGCCGCAACACCAGCCTTCCTTAGCACTCAGCGTTGTCATTCCGGAGAAGTATATCACGTCCTTGTAGTCTATACTCTGTAATTTCACTGTCATGTGTTTTTTTTATTTCCTTTCTTTCATATGCTTCCCCAAAAAAATCTTATAAATTAAATTATTTTACGGCTGAAATAGGAGAGATAGGAAAACAGGCATATTAATAGTAGTTTGTCTTTAATTTAAATTTAACTTTAAAACTAGTATTAATGATACTAGATTTAAAGACAAACTTTCTGTTCACATAGCACAAAATATACCGGAATTAGCTTTAAATAAATTTAAAACCCTAAACGTAAATGACACACATGACACAAGCATGGCATGGCATGGCAGTAGATGTTCATACACGGTTTCAATTAATGTTAGACATAGACAATTTTTTATATTAAACATTCAACCTGGAACATCGCCAGCAATGCAGTTATCACTCCACATTACTAACAATCCCCTTCCGCTCATTTCAAAATCACTGAAGTACGCACAAAACCAAGGGATACAACTAGTGTAAAACGAACAGCCATCATACGTAATGAAGTTTAACATAATCCTATGGAAATGATTACAGTGTCTTTGTGGAAAACATACTGCAATCTCATACACATTGTAGGTCGTTGCTCTTTACCATGGCCAGATCAGTTGAGCTCCCACGCCTCTATATTTCCTTATACAAACCGACCACGCAGGGGAAAGGGTCTTAATATCCGGAGTTCATTTTATAGTGTACATTAAATATAGGCGGAAGTTCGCGGCTTGACATCGAAGTAGTATGAAAGATGTCTTATAAATCAATATTCTAAAGACAAGTTTGCGTGCTGTTTTGCAAATGGTATG